ATAAAATTAAAATATGTTATAGTAGATGTTTAATTTTTAGTATACAAATTGTTTTTTTATCTGTAATTTGTTAAAATGATATCTTCTGAAATATTTTATATGTACATCCCTCAAGAGCTCACCAAAATGCATTAAGCGACCTTTCAGTCAAAATAATTGCCCACCCCAGTCTAGGTAAATAAGGTACTTATCAAGCTAAAGTATACTGAGTAGCTCCACTATATGAATGACCTTCAGTTTCCTGATCCAGCAGGGGCTGGCATGCCTTACATCTTACAAGTAACCATCTCTCTGTCCCATCCCAGCAGCAACATTAGATGTAACTCATTTTCCTAGGCGCATAAGGATAGTAGGCTATGATGTAGGGGAACTGAAGCCCTAGAGCACGATTGGAAAGGGAAACTGAGCATGGTAAATTTTTAAATTTCTGACTGAGTGATGATTTGTGGTCTCACTTGCAGAAGTTTGTCAGTGGGAACCTATCTGAATGCAAGAATTGTCCTTACGCACATCCTGTAAACATAAAGAAAGCGTAGTATTCTTGTAAACCCTTCTCAAACTCTGGCTTTGAATATGTTTACACATTAGTAATAGCTTCTAGTCTTTGTTCATCTCTGTCCTCAATGTCTTAGGTAGGGGATCAGCAACCTTTTAGGAGCAGTGAGCTGAAACAAAACAGCTCGAGCTGAGGTTGACTGCCACTTGTGACCCAACCTCCACTGTCACACCTTCTGCCACGTATTTTTTTTTGCCCCATCACCACTAGGAACCACCATGCCCACAGCCCAGTTACTGCTGAATGGCCACTGCTGTCCCAGCTCTGTGGGCTGGATAAAAATCATTTAGGCTGGATCTGGCTTACAAGCCATCGGTTGCCAAGACACTGTCCTACAGATTTATGCTTCTGTGATTGGAAATACAATTACAGGGAAAGGGAGATACAAATAATAGATGAAATAAAAAGTTCATTATGTAAAGAATTTGAAATCTGCATAGAAGTATTCACAATCATGGGTATAGAAGTGAAACCCAGAAGTTTTGAAAATCTTGTCTGATGCTTTTTTGGAAAAAAAATTGTAATAGTTACATCTGAAAGAAGCTACTGAACAAAATCTTAACTCTGTTATGCTTCCATTGGGAGGCATTCCAGTTCCCTCAGCTGGCCACAGTCTGTGGAAGAAAAACAGTCTGAGTCATACCAGAAATGCAACACTTAACATTATAAGAGAAAAAAGGCAAAGGAGGAATAATATGAAATGTGAATTAATTTTTGGCAGCTGGCTTAACTCAAACTGTGTGTGTGATGATGCGTGATCATTGAAGGCCAGGATCTGCCACTGCTTTGCACATACTTATAGCAAGCAGCTCCATTGCTTTTTTTTTTTCCATAGGGGAGTGGGGGAAAGTCAAAGCAATCCATTTTGATTCTGATCGTAGATCAGATCAGCTGCTTGAGATTGTTTTTATACACATCTCAAAGGACTACAAGTTACTTGCTGTATACTTGGTTCCATCAATATCTGGTCTCTTGCTGGGAATCATTCTTGAAAAATACCAAAACTATCCTTTTCTAAAACCTCCAGTGCAAATACTCTAATAGACCTTGGTTGCCATTTATTTTTCCTGTTATTGTAACTGTCTCCTTTTTGGTTTTTCCACCCCTCCTAGTCTGTATAAAATGCTGTTTATGTAGTCCTCTTCCTTTTTGTGTCACTTGACCCAATTTTACAAAGTTTACAACGTCACATAAGATTTTTAATTAGGAGAGAAATCACTGGAATATTGATATTTTAAGTTAGGTCAGTGAAATGAGAGATGCATTAAAGTTAATTTAATGGTGACAGGATACCTTGTCTGCTTGATGCTTAATTTAAGTATATTTCTGTTATCTTAATTATATTCTGGTGATAGTAAAGAAAGAAAATAGTAAAAAGTATTCTGGCAGTCTTGCTATACCTGTTTTATCTGTTTAGATCAGATTAGATTTTTTAAAATGTACCTAAGGGTTTTTTTTAATTATTATTCTGCTAGTTATTAGCAGAGACAAGACAGGATATCCGAAAGAAAGAAGACGCGATTAAAGAGAAGATCCGTTTTTTGGCAAATGAGACAGGAAATAATATGGAGTATGAAAAGAAAATTGCTAGTACTGATCGGCAAGCTGCCAAGCTCCGGATGGAGTACCAAAATCAAGATGCTAATCGAGTTCAGCTCCAGGATGAGGTAAACCTGCCAGTTTCAGACCAAATAAACAGAAACATGTCTAACTTTCACTTGAAATGAAAAAAATCTGACAAAGAGAGACAAAAGTATTCCGTCTTCTCATGCATTTTTCTGGTACATCCCTTATGTTGGAACAATGCTTGCCACTATCAGGACAGCAGCGTATATTGGAATGTGAATCCTGACCTCGAGACTTTGGCTATGGTAGCACAACAGAGGAGGATCATATAGTTGTTGAAAAAAAAGGGATTGTTTTTTTTCACTTGACAGTCTTCATATGGCTGGCACATATGCAAAGAGCTCTCTTCATTGTGTAGGCACCACTGCTAAAGGGAATAATGCCACACTTCTATCGCCACAAAGCTAGATCCACCCATGATACCAATTATTGGATCTACAAGAGCCCTCATGCTCACATTGAGCCTTACAAAATTAACAAAGCTCTCTGCAGATTTAGGAGTTCACTGACACGTGTGCTGTGCCAAGAGAGAGCCTTTAGCTGTTTCCCCATTTGTCTTGTTTTCTTGGTAATTAAAAATGTTTTAAGCCACATATGCAATTGGCACAGCCAGTTTATTAACATTATTGGCTATGTTGACTTGCACCAGTTGAGAATCTGGAACATATTTATCTTCCATTTAGTGAAAATACATTTTTTAATGTCTAAAATAAACTTGGTGTTGTAGAAACAGAGATGTGTTAGCAATATTAACAAACCTCCTGAAGTTTCTGATCAGGCAGTAAAAGTTGGTTTGTTTCTGTATTTGTATTGCTGAGTAGTAAGTAGGACTTTTGAAAATTGCTTAGTTAGAATGTACTACAGTATGCTAGAGTACAAAACAGAATAAGCAACTCTTATTTAACTAATTATTAGCTGGATACTTTAAAAACCACAGTGGACAGGACTGCTTCTGATTTAGAATCTATGAGAACACGAGTAACCAATCTGAAAAAAGAAATTCAAGAAAAAAACATCAGGTAAGAATGACAAGCTCTTAATTTTTTTTAAGTATGCAATATAATCAGACCTTTGATCAAATAATTCTTAACAAGGAGCCTTACATTATTTTGGTTTCACAGCTGGATCATTCTAGATACTCCAAATTATACAGCCTTCAGATACTCAATGTAATTCCTAACTCTGGAGAAAAAGTTCTGGTTTGGGCCCAGGCTATCATAATTTGTAAATTAAATAAAAAGTGGTGGTAATGGATAGTAACCAATACAGTTATCTCCAAGGAAGCTACGTGAATAAATACAAATCTATACTCCATGGTTACTTCCCTTTTATTTAAATGAATATGAGACAGTATTTTGGTTAGATTTCTCAGTCAATTGTATTAAAGAGTGTTGAGTAGTGTGTTATGTGTGCCTCTCACTTTAACTCTTTATACCATGTAACTTTGTTTAGGCTAAGCCTTCTTAAAGATCAGAATATGAATCTTTCAAATAAACTGAAGTTTGTGACTGAGAAGACACTGAGCTTAGAAGAAAAAGCTTTTAGGATGGAAGAAATTCTGAAAGAAGAAGAGAGAAATGTGAAGGTAAAGACTCTTAACACTACTTGAAAATGAGAATTTGTATAGACTTTATACATGTGTCTGGGGCAATCATTTGTGTGGATTCAAATATAATTATTAAGATGGCCTGCCTCAGGTTTTTTTTAAGTAAACAGGAAACCATTTGGTTGTATTTGGATGGCAAATGTTTAAGAAAAGCCTCAGTGTCACAAGAGATAATTAGGGTTGTTGGTTGTAGCCATGTTGCTCTAAGGACACAGCCAGATGAGGTTCTTTGGGTAGATGTGATATATTTTATTAGACTAACTAGTTGGAAAAAATGTTCTTTGCAAGCTTTTGAGCACAAACACCCTTTTTCAGGCATAGGGGTTTACAAGAGGTAATTGCATTTTGCAGAGCTTTATTATTTCAAAATGTTAGATTTGTGCCTAGAAGTGGAACCAAGAATTTTGCAGTTATTTGTGACATGAAATTAAGTTCTCTGCCCAGCTCTACTGGGAGCCCTTACTTCTAAACAGTCTGTCCTGGTGGGCTGGTCCAAAGCTTAGGAGTCTGGTGTTCCAGGCTCTCAGCTTTCTAGCAGCATATCGTGTGAACTTCCAGGCAACCAGGAGCCAGGAAGGAGGGTTTCCAGGTGGGCAGGTGGCCGAGCAGAATTCTGCTAAACCTACCTGATGTCCTTTAGAATTTCAACAAAATTGACGCCCTTCAGCAAATTCTGCTAAAATTCTCAAATTTTTCAAACCACTGTACCTGTTACATTCTGCCTGTCAAAATACACCTGATATTACAAAAAACTCTAATCCCTTTTGTAAGATTGAGCACTATTAAATAATTGCTATGGTTCGTTTAAAAAATGAGTGCAGTTCAGTGGTAACTACAGGTCTACATGTGGATAGTAGCTTGCATGCACTCAGTAAATTTGGATATTTCTCTAAAATTGTACATACAAAAACACTTGATAAATGGAGGATCATCATTATTACAACATAGCAAAATGTCAGTATATTATGATCTTTTAATATTGATCTAGGATCTTTTACAGTCTCCAGAATTGTGATCATGGTTGCAGACTGCTCAGTAAATGCAGGATTGTAACAGCTGTCATCCAGACTTTCCCAAAGTTGAGAAGAAACTTCAACCTTTTTTCTAATTGGCAAATAATTCCTTTCAAATTAGTTAATATTGAGTATCTGACTGATGTTGACTTAGAGACTATTGGGTTCTCTAAAGCTTTTCTTGTCATGAGTGTAAGCTGACTGCACTACACAAAAATGGAAGAGCAGGTGTTCCCAAACAAGTGACAATAAAACTAGCCCACACATTTTGTTTCTTCCAGTTATTTTCCCTCTGTCTGACTTAATTTTCAAGCAATAGCTGTATACAGTACTGTCCTTGTGATTGGTTTGGGGTGCTCTTTTACAAACCTAGTAACTTTCTAGCACATTAACTATGCACTTTTAAACCGTACTTTGAATGTAAGTATAGAAATTGGAAAAATGACACCTTTGTTACTTATGAAGAGTTTTAAAGCAAACCCTGTAACTTAAGAAAATTCAGTATTACAGAGAATGTGAATGCAAGATGGGATGATATAACATTTCTGCAAATTTAAAACCAAAATTGTTTCCCTCTATATTTGTTACTAGGATGGCTAAACTGTTGCCAGGTCTTCTTTACTCCAGCATGTAAATATGTGGCAGATAACCTAAGATGACACTGAGTTTGGCAGCTTTACAACCTGAGGGTCATATTTTAATGATGAGCTGTTCTTGAAGAACGTCTGTAATGTATTAGTCAGAAGTATGCCTTCCATCACCATTCAATAAGCCTGTCTATTTGTTGCATCTATTAATTTACTGTGAAAATACAGTTAAAGGACCAATGTAGATAAAAATCCCACTTGCCAAGTTCCTCAAAGACTTCAACCACATTATGACAAAATACTGTTGCAGGAGTGAATCTTATTTAACATCAATTTGTGTAATTTGAGGACATCTTTTGGAAGCAGTTTAGTTTAAGTCAAGTCACTTGGAAATATAAAAGCCTTAGTTGCTAAGAACCAGATTCTCATCCCATTTTATCTGACAGTAGTTTTGCCATCTTTGCTATTAATTCTAAAAGTTGCTCCAAACTGGAAACATTGATATAAAAAACAAAAACAAGTATTAAAAAAACTTTAACCACCCCCCACTGCATCTGTTAAGACTTAATTTAAAACCCATTGAAGATATTAAACACAATAGAAAGAATTTGGAAAGACTTTGGATCAGGTCCTTTCTTGCTCCCCTTGAGCTCAGGGCTTTTCTTTTCCTGTAGGAATTATTCCAGATGTTTAAAAAAAAAAAATCTTTCAACCCAGATTCCTGCCCACAAGTAAATTCTCAGGTCATGGATAGGCATTACATTTGTAGCACTAAGTGCACCCTTATGGCACTGCAAAAAAGCAAGTGTACAGCTGTTCAAGTACTAAAAGCATGGTGAAACCGCCACAGTCTTACCTCTTTCAAATTGGAGCTTCTTGGCATCGCTTTTTCTAGCACTGTGGTTAACACCTGTAACTGTTACACACAGTGCTATAAGACGTGGCTTGGTCCTCCAGCATCCCCAAAGACTTTGCATCTTGTCCCTTACGCATGGCTCCAGCGATTCTGTCCATGACTCGCACCAAACTTTACTAACCCAGGGAAGTGGTGCTAAGCTCATGTATCACCATACTGACTTGCTGCTTGGCACTTTCTTGGTGAACAAGATTAGAATCCTTCCCAATCCATGTGAAATCTAGTTTCAAGCTGTTCCCAGAATACTGGAAGAAGGCCAATGTCCTGCCTATCTTCAAGAAAGGGAGGAAAGTAGACCCGGCAAACTACAGGCCCATCAGCCTGACCTCTATCCTGGGGAAGGTCTTGGAAAAGATTATCAAAGAGGCCATCCTTTAACAGACTAGCTGATGGCAATATCCTGAGGGATACCCAGCATGGGTTTGTTGCGGGTAGGTCTTGGTTGACCAATCTCATTTCCTTTTACAACCAGGTGACCTATCACCTGGACAAGGGGGAAGAGATTCATGTCATATATCTTGACTTTAAAAAAGCCTTTGATCTGGTATCCCATGATCACCTCTTGGCAAAACTGGCTAACTGTGGCCTTGACCTCACCACGATTCGCTGGCTGGGGAATTGGCTTCGCGGCAGGACCCAGAGGGTGGTGGTTGACGGAAGCCAATCATCTTGTTGTGTGGTCACCGGTGAGGTCCCTCAAGGCTCTGTCCTAGGGATGTTTAACATCTTCATCAATGATGTGGACATTGGTGTCAGAAACTGACTGGCCAAGTTTGCCAGCGACACCATACTCTGGGGTAAAGCATCCACACCTGAGGACAGCAGGGTGAGGCAGATCTTGACAGGCTCGTGAAATGGGCGGACGAGAACCTGATGGTGTTCAACACTGAA